TGGAATCTATACTCTGTAAACTTAGTGCTGAAGAAGGTCACTTTCGTGAAAACGCTCTAGACTCACCTTACCTAATTTGTAGAGAATGGTTGGTTTCAATGAATCAAAAACTTTAAGACATTCAGAAGAATAACATGTCATTAAAATATGCCTCAATGTTTTGGAAAGGTTGGCAGTTTGAAGAGGAAGCGACAGGCAGAATACTTTAGAAAATCGCAGATGACTCGCATGTGTTCCAGTTCAACAGCGAGGCAGAAAGAATCTTACGCCGACGAAAATTTTGTCGACATTGATACAGAGATGACAATTGAGCGAAACTCTCTGATTTCCTACATAAGGAATCTAAGCAGATTGCCTAGTTTTAATGGGGAAATGTCCAGGAAGTCCATTGCTGATCTTCAGGTTGCTGAAGATTTCAAGGCTGCTAAATTCACAAACATGGATATGAACAAAAGGAAGGTGTTAGTACAAAGCATAGCTACTACCTCTTAGATCCCGACTGGAGTGTGAACCCAACTCTGTGCTTTATGCTTTTGGAAGTTATTCGCCTTGTGACATTATGACCTATGATATTGAAAAAAAACCAACGCGCAGCATAGTATCTACTTTTTTTTCGGCTATTCCGCGATGCTGTTAAAGAAGAAGTCGAGCAGCTTTCTCATCAGTTAACAGGACGTATGCCAGAGGAGGTGAAGCCAGAGTTCGACAAGGCCCAAAAAATTATGCAATATTTCCTTCCCGTGTTGCGAAAGCATATGCGATCTGGCTCTTTCTCCATTACTTACCGCAAAAATCTGATGGACTTACTAGCAAAGCTAGTTTCCATTCCGACTAGCACGGCAGAGGTGGAAAAAGAAATTTTCTATCTACTCTGCTATCAGAAAACACAACGCAGAAGTCGTACAACGATGGAGCATCTGAGCAATTACTTAAGGTTTGTCAACCTTCTACTAAACATATTGTTATCTAAAAACTTCATTTAAAGGATTGGTGTGGTCCAAACAGGCTGTTACCGTATGACTTTTTGAAATATCCTGAAAGATGGTACGAAGAAACTGGTCACCTACCCGCTGACTTTCCTGGTGCTACCAGAGGGCCAGGAAAAAAATCACAAAAGCGCTTAGAAGAAGAAGAAAGTTTCAAATCCATTTTCGACTCAGAACGCTTTTGCACGCAATTCTACTTCTACTCCGATGACCTTTTGGAGGAAGAAGAAGATATTTCAAGCAGCGAACTTGTTGTTTCTGACGTTAGCGATAGTGATATTTTTGATGATGATTGCAGGAATTGAAGTTGTTCCTAACTTGTACATCTTTTGGGATAAACCTTATTGCTTTCGTTTTTTGTTGATGCAATGAAACAGGAGCACAGATCTTCATATAGTCAATTTTTTTAAAAATTTTTAATTTCTTTTAAAATTTCTAAAAAAATTTTCAATTGTGCCTAAATAGGGTACAAATTAGAGCTCTTCATACCACGCTTTTCTACCTTTTCTCTTTTCCTCCCCCCCCCCTAGACTCACATACCCCCTTCACCCTGAAAGGTCGGGAACAGCCGAGACCCCCTTCACCTGGGGAGAGCCCGGCTCCCCCTATCGCACCTATGGTCTGAGAGTCATTGTATTAACTCCTAAGTTCATGCAAAAAGTCACTGCGTTAAATTTGAGCTCGTGCAGAAAGACTGCATGGAAATATATGTGCTGAAGATTATTGCGCTAACATCTAAAAACGTGCAAAAAGACTGTAGGAAAATACCTGCTTGGTAAATTATTCAAGAGAGCGACTTTATCATTTTAAAGCTTCGCTTCAAAATGATAGAGTCGCTCTCTTGCATAATTTACCGAACATATATTTTTCTACAGTCTTTTGACGTTAGATTATTCATATCCATGGGTTAAAAGCTTACGCGAATTTGGTGTCATTGTACCTCCTTCTGGCAGCTCATCATAAAGCTCATCTGGGGCTGAAAGTCACTGCATTAACTCCTATCATGTAAAGAGTAGTTGTGTCCACTTCTGAGCTTATGCAAAAGATGTTAGAACATATACACTTAGTGGGTCATTCAACAGAGCAGACTTTATCAAAGCTTTTCATGTATAGATTACTATCCATGGGTTCAAAGCTTACGCAGATTTGGTGTGGTTGTACTATCGTCTAGCAGTTCACCGTAATCTGGTGGTGAAAGTCATTGCATTGACTCCTATCATGCAAAAAGGCAGCGTTGCTTTGAGCTAGTGCATGCAAAAGAGTGTATGGAAATAGGTGCTTAGGTGGCCATTCAAGGAAGCATATTTTATCATTTTAAAGCCTTTGATCTTTAGATTACTCACATCCGTTGATTAAAAGCTCACGCAAAGGACGCATCTGATCTTCCATCTGAAAGCATAGATAGGGGTTATGCGTAGGGTTAATCACCTTTCAAGGTTAGATCAGGTTTGACCAAATCTATCGTTCAGCCCTTAAGAGGCTTACTCAAACTCGGTAGCAATATCTCCATTATTGTTCGTTTCGGTAGCTTAGAACATCATCATAACTAGGAGCTAAAAACGGAAGGCTCTTGTGAAACATTAGTTGAAATGAAACATGTATGCCCAAGTTAATCCGCTTTCGAAAGCGTTGATAAAATATTTTTATTAACACTTTTTATTGCGAATTGATTCGATTCACTTTTTCATGCAGAAAGACTATAAGGAAATATGAGCTAAGTAGGGTGTTCAAAAAACTTTAGCTTTGTCTGGCAGTTCACCGTAATCTGAGGCTGAAAGTTGTTTACAAACTCCTGAGTTTATGCAAAAAGACCATAGCGCGTTTGCTTGATTATTTAAGGCAGCAGATTTTGTCATTAAAAGGCTTCCAGGGGTATAGTTCAGACTACTTATAGCCAAGATTGAAACAACTTACGCGGAACTGGTGGCATTATATTAGGTTGGAAACTAAGTTTTGCAACTGGTTTTATAACTTTCCTCCCAATCAACATACACTCAAATTTTGCCACTGCGTTGGTTATTACGTAAGCTACAAGCGCAGCTGCTGTCCTACCAAATTCTGACGTTGCAGAGAGGGTTACGGTAGCATGGTATGAAGGGGAAAAATTCAAAGTTTGTCGGATTTGGCTGAAACTTGGCATAGGGGTGTTATCCGACATGCTGATCACGAAAACGATAGTGAAATTGCGTGAAAAGGGGATTACTGTAGGTGTGTATTATTGTATTACTTTTTACTGTAGGTGTGTATTACTGTATTACTTTTTGTAGGATTACTGTAGGTGTACGATATCGGATCTCACCCTAAATAAGGAAAAAGGCGTTGATTCAACAAATGAATGTGATATTCGCGTTTGGCAGGTCAAATAACCTTACTATGTTAAGTCTCGGCGAATTTGATCTTCGAACTCTTTAGTCATTGACGGTCGTCCCCAGTAGCTCTTGCGTACATCGACTCGTTCGAGTTTATGAGGACGCCAAATCTCGACATGCTCCTAAATTTTGTTTCTTTCTTACTAGGCCAAAGGAGTCAACCTCCAGCAATAATTAGTAGACGAATCCCGATTACTGCGCGTGGTCTAGGCTGCCAAAGGCTTCATTTTAGCTTAAACAACAAAAATGCTCATTCACTAGTTTTCGAAAAACGCCTGAAACTTTTCTATGCCGTGTTTAAAATTGACAATTTGTGCTCACTTGTAGCTCACATTGCCTTCTACATAATGCCAAATTTGAGTGCGTCATATCCAAAGAGAGTGAAGTTATGAAACCAGTTGCAAAACTTAGTTTTCAGCCTAATACTTCCGTCTGGAATTCTAGTAGATTCACCGTAAACTGGAGCTGGAAATCGCAGTATTAACTTTGAAATAGTGGGAAAAGACTGTAGGGAAATATGTGCTTGGGATGTCATTTATGGGAGCAAACTTTATCATTTAAAAGACTTTGACGGGTATCTGGTTCAGGGGACGAGTGGCGTAGTGGAGGCGCCGCTATGGCCAGGTCGGACGGAGGTTCGATCCCGCCCCTGGGCCAACCAAGCTCTCTACTCTCTGGAGACGGTAAATTGGTACCAGAGTAACCTGGGAGAATAAAAGCGCTGGCTTGGTAAACGGTTGGCCCCTGCAAGTCACTGTAAACGCTCGCACGCATACAATCACTTCTCCGCCTATGAAGTAGTGTGCGTTCGGCGCATGTCCGCGGAGGGTATTGAATACGCCGAATCCTTTATCGTTTATCCTTTATGGGTATAGCTCAAATTATTAGCCTGTTAAGTAAGTTCTGCAACTGCGTCCGTAACTTTTCGCTTTTTGATATTGGCGCGCTCAAGTTGTGAAATTGTTTGGACTTCTGTGAGCTATAAATTGGCACGTATCGCTCGCTCTCCGATGAGGAAAAAGTTCTGGTGAAATTCAAGGATCCATGGGGCTTTTAGTCAAAATGAAGCCATGCTTTACCTGAATCATGCAATCAACAATCCTAAAGTGTGCACAAACTGTTGCTCGAGGTTCATTCAAAGACAACTCGAGATTTTTCGTCCTCACAAAATTGGACGAGCCGCCCGAAGTTGCTTGAGGAGAAGCATCAATCACTAAGGAGTCGAAGTCTCAGAATTCGCCAAGATTTTGCACGGTGGGGTCATTTGTCCCGTCAAATACGAATATCATGCTCATTAGTTAAATTAACGCCTCTTTTTTTGTTTAGCTTGTGACCCCTACGTAAACCTCCGACATTACAAAAAAACCCTTACCATGAGAAAAATATCGTTTTATCAGCATGTCAGATAACTCAACCTACGCAAAGTTCAATTTTTAATAATCTATAATTTTCCCCGTACACCATAAAATACCGTAACCCTCGCTCGATGTCAGAATTGTGCAAAACTGTGACCTCTCTTGTAGCTTACGTCTCAGCTACATGATGGAAAGTTTGAGTGCGTCATATGCAAATAGAGAGAAGATAAAAGTAGTTGCAAAACTTATTTAACAACCTAACACTTATACTCAAGATTGAGATAACTTACGCAGAACTGATGGCATCAAACTTCGGTCTGACAGTCCAGTAGATTCACCGCGATCTGGTGCTGAAAGTCATTGCGTTCACTTCTAAATTCATTCAAAAAGACTGTAAGCAATATTTGCTCGGTGGGTCATTTGAAGAATAAGTATTTTACATTTTGACAGCGTGGACGGGCATAGTTTGGTTTTCATATATTTGAAGAAAGCTTACGCAAAATTGGTGACATTAGACACTTTTTTCATTCTCTTCTGAAAAACTCTAGAAACTTTGGAAAAACCTAATATTTGGCACATATGAGCAGTGGACAAAGGAGTATCTATTGGCATCATTTCCACCTTTACAGGTATGGGTTACAGTGAATATAAAGGCAATTTTGAACTGCAGTCAATTCTCTATTTTTTCTTTTGCCTTTAAAAATTCTCTTATTCTTATTTTTTATGCTCTCACTTCGTTGAGTTTCTGGGGACATTACTACTGATATGAAGGAAGTTTGGAAGTCTAGGCTGTTGAATAATGCAAGTTGAAGAGCCGAAAAAACTAAAAAATATCAAAAAATATTTGGATTTTTCACATGTGGCATTATATTGGGTTATCTCGAAAGTTTTGTCCGTTTTTTCAACCTATCATAAAAATACGTGGAACAAAGATAGGGAAACGCTCTAAGCACTACCCGACGCACATTTTCCTCCTCTTTCTAATTGTCAAGCCCACATGCCGATTACTCTTTTGCTCACTGAGATAAACGCCGAAATTTCGAACTCATGGTTTTTACTATGTCCAAGTTTGACAATTTTTCACAATCTTCAACTTCAACTTTTGGAAGACCTTTGATAGCCTTTAGATAGAGTAAGCAAAGGGCAATGCAATGCAGTTATTTGGCATATCTAGCTGGCTTTTCAATATTTTTGAAGATAATTTTTTCGAAAGTCTTCACTTTTGCGAAGTTCTAAAATACAGAAACGCCTCGAACATTAACAAATGATCGGATTTTGAAGCTTTCAAAAACCGATTATGATTATTCACTATTTTTACGAAGCAAATGAGCGTTTACCGCCTCGAAGTATAAGATTTTGCATTTTACGTGTATACGCTGGGGTGGGGTCAAATTCAAGAACTATGAAAATTTTATCGCCAAAGACACCGCAAATTGAAGAGAAAATACACTCATTGAAAAGAGAAAGAAAAGCTGCATCGAATAACACCTTAGTTGTGCGCCGTCTTATGTTCAATGGCTCTTGGCGTCCCCAAAAGTGGAATTTGATAACATCAGAAAAATAATTCTAAAAAATTTTCAAGGCTAGCTATAGATGCTGCAAAATTGCACTGTACTGCACTTTGTTTGCTCTATCTAAATGTTGCCAAAGCTTTTCCGAAAGTCAAAAATAAAGATTGTGAAAAATTGCCAAACTTGGACATAGTAAAAACCATGGGTTTGAAATTTCGGCGTTTATCTCAATGAACAAAAGATTAATCGGCATGGAAGCATGACATTTAGAAAGAGAATGAAAAGATGCGTCGGATAGTGTTTAGAGCGTTTCTCTAACTTCGTTCCACGCGTTTTTATGATAGGTTGAAAAAACGGACAAAACTTTCGGTACAACCTAATATATGAAAAGTTATAGCCCTCCACTTAATTTAGAGATGAGGAAAAATCTTTGGAGAAAGTTATGAAGGTTTTTTCATTCAAGCATAACAAAATTTATGTTACAACCTAATATTCCGTCTGGCAGACAAGTAGATTCACCGTAATTTGAAGCTGGGATTGCAGTGTTAACTTTGAGCTTGTGGAAATATAGTGGGAAAATAGTTGCTTGATGAGTGGGGGCATGGGGGCAAACTTTATCACTTGAAAGGCTTTGATGGGATATGAAGTGCGGTTCATAATTATACGAACACCCAAAATTTTGTAAGTTTTCGGACTTCTTGGGAGAAACTCAAAAAGTGGTTGGTACCACGAGATAGAACACAGCCGAAAACGGTATATGATTCATAAGAGTGGTAAACGATGTCAATTGTAGGAGTGTTTTTGCGCCTAATGCGAATTTTTAGCGATTCATAATTATACGAACACCTCAAACAAAGGTCCATTTTTCATTCGAGATTGCAATCGTTTGAGTCCAAATTTTTTGAAAAGTTAAGTAACAAAGTCTGACATATCTGCTACACACTGAACCTAGTGCAGTTCAAAACGAGGACCGTTACTTTTTCCAGAAGGCTCTAAATGCTTTTGAAGTGATTGAGCTCCAAAAACATCCATTCTTCTGTGATTTACGCGCTCTAATTAGCTTCTACCAAAGCTATGAGATGAAATAAGCACTTGCGATAGGTATATTGTTTGACGCTTGGAAAATCATTGTGTTTTGTGCCGTTTTTCAATCAAGTCCCAACCTTACCACAGAGTCAGCACGATTTCGATCCTCAAAACTCAGCTTCTCTCTTGCGCAAACATGTGATATGAAGCAGCTGCATTGCTTGCATGATAATGTTCCTGTGCCAAAGTTTTTGGGTTTTTTCTAGAACTAATCTTGCGGCTGCGGGGCTACAAACCATATAAAGGTGTGATTGCAAAAGTAAAAACATTTCTGGTGAAATAACGTCTGCGTGACAAAAACAAACGCTCAACGCTGCTGATTTTTTCTAGCCAAATATTAAGTCTTGTGAACTTCTACATACTATACGCTTGCTTCATTTTACGGCTTTAGGAGCTAAGTTTTGAGGCTCGAAACCGTGCTAACTCTGTGGTAAGGTTGGGACTTGATTGAAAAACGGCACAAATCGCAAAGATTTTCCAAGCGTCAAACAAAATACCTATCGCAAGAGCTTATTTTATCTCATAGCTTTGATAGAAGCTAAGTAAAGCGAGTAAACCACAGAAGAACGGGTGTTTTTGAGCGCAGTCACTCCAAAAGCATTTAGAGCTTTTGGAAAAAAGTAAGGGTCCTTTTTTCAAAATGCACTGAGTTTAGTGTATAGCAGATATGTCAGACTTTGTTACTTAACTTTTCAAAAAATTTGGACTCAAACGATTGCAATCTCGAATGAAAAATGGACCTTTGTTTGAGGTGTTCGTATAATTATGAATCGCTAAAAATTCGCATTAGGCGCAAAAACACTCCTACAGTTGACATTGATTTCCATTCTTATGAATCATATACCGTTTTCGGCTGTGCTCTATCGCGTGGCACCAACGGCTTTTTAAGTTTCTCCCAAAAAGTCCAAAAACTTACAAAATTTTGGGTGCTTGTATAATTATGAACCGCACTTTAGTTCAGATTACCTATGTCCAAAATTAAAATAACTCTCATTGGTGGCCTTATACTTCCGTCTGGAAGGTTAGTAGATCCACATAATCTGGAACCGAAAATCGCAGTATTAATGAGCTCGTGCATGAAGAGTGTAGGACAATATTTGCTTAGTGGGTCATTTGAAGAAGTAGACTTCAATGTTTCGAAAGCTTGTACGGGCATAGTTTGGATTTCTTATTCGTAAAAATGGAAAGTTTACGCAGAATTGGTGGCATTATATACTTTCGTCCAGCAGTGTACTCGTTTCAATGTTTTGGAGCTGAAAGTCGTAGGCCCGTAGTAAATCCCCATTTATCTCAGTTGACCTCAGATTAATTACTCAGAAGAAGTTTTTAGGGTGAACCTAAGACCGCCCATCCTCCCGTGCTTCGGGACAATCAGTTGGACAGTCAGAAGACCGCCCGGCTAAGTGCCGTCAGTTCTACAAAATTCCACTTAGCCAGGGTTTAGAGTCAACCGAGAGAGATAATGTGCAAGAGAGGAGAATCAGACAAAACTCTCGTACTCTTGTGAGTAACTCACGGGACAATCCACTCAACGTGTTGTTGCGTTGGAGAACTCATAGATCTGCCCAATTTCGAGGTCCAAGTAGGCGAGAATCGATGAACAGCAGAATGCGGCGAAGAAATACGAATATAAGAAAAGAAAAGAAGAATATATTCCTTCTTTTTTGGCAGAGATTGCTTAGATTTTTTAGAAGCTGCGCTAAACAAAAATTTATTTTTTCTGTTCATTCCGTTCGTATTTCAACTTTATCAGTTTTTCAATATCTTAGTCAAAGTATCGTAGTTTTGTTTTGCCCATTCTATAATATATGCTAAGCGATGTCCTTGAGAGCGGTTACCATCGATTTTTTCGATAGTGGCGGCTATCAATGAACGCCCGGCGATGGCGCAAAATTACCTCACTAGTCAGCCTCGAACCATAGCCTTTGGAAGTGAATTCCATTCACATAGCCTTTTGACCTAACCTGCTCAAAACGTTTCAGTTCGAAAGCGCTCAAGACTTCCATTTCTAGATAGCGATCCGCATTCAGATCAATAGCTCTGGATGCCTGACTGAAACGTCCTGGGTTCAACGTAGGACTGCTCCCAGCCGAGTTGCGCTGAACAGAGGTTTACTATGGGCCGAAGCTTGAATTCAAGCTGGTGCAAAAAGACTGTAGGGAACTTGTTGGTAGGTCACTCAAAAAAGCAGACTTATCATTTCGAAGCTTAGATGCATTGTATTGTACTCCTTCACTAATTTTTTATTCAATCAAAACCTTGACGACATGGTGACCCACATGGTGGGTCATGCATGGCTGCCACGTGGGACAATGTGACCCGCATGGTGGGTCATGGCTTGAATTTTGTTAAGATTACTACGCATTGGAATACATTCTAGTACAGGCTTTCTTACTCCTTGCGCCTAGAAATTACTATACTTTCGCGTCTCTTGGACGATTCTTAGAACTGCTGTAGATATACTGTAGACATCCATCTGGGTGATTTAAGCAAAAATTCTCGACTTATACGTAAAAGGCACTGTCCCAAAAAGCAGACAACTGAGAAACTGCATTGTCGTCAACTGTTAAGAAGGACCTTCTCGAACAAACTTGGAACTCCTCAATTTATGAGTTTGACAAATCGTGCTTAGCGCGGTAAAATGAGTGGTCGTAATTCGGGCTTGTTCCCCATCTGACAAGAATCGAACGCAACTCGGCTTATGGGTGAATATGACATAACCCTAACGGATGTCATCAGTCAAAAAATGAGAG